CAGAGGGAGTAGGAAGGCTTGGTGGGGGTTTTATATGTGTATGTAGTTAGTTGCACAGCTGATTCCTTCATCGCATTGAAACTGCACATAAAGTTGTCTTTTTTACAATCTGTCCCCTTTAACCAGCCCCCCTCCCTATTAGATTTACTAATGTTCTCTTTGCACTACCACAAGAGTTAAGCACCAAAATAAATCTTCACTCCGTCAGTAACCCAGCAGACTTCCCTACTGACCACACAAAGTTGTTGTTTTTTTCTCAGAGAGATCATAGGCAATGGAACGCTGACAGGATATGAGGGGAGACAGGGACGTCTAAATTCTCAAAACTTCAGACCTTCAAAGAGATCTGAGGATTTGATATGTTCATGTTTTTGCAAACTTTGACAGTGTCTTACAAATACTGCATACCCTTTTCAATGTTTTAACTTCACTTATTCTTTCTTTTATTTGGATTTTATGAAAGAGACCAAGATTGTGCATGATGGTGAAGTTAATGTTATCCAAAATGTGCAGCATGATGCTGATGATGCTGCCACCATCATTTAAAGTTGCATTTATTAATAGGGGGGGGGGGAAACAAAAAATAGGTCTCCTGGGTTTTTCTAAGCTTAATTAAGAAGTGATTTGTGAGGATCAAAATTAGAAGTTTTCCTGTTAGTAAATTAGTTTTATCTTCGCAGCGGATCTTAGACCTTTTTTTGGTCTTGTTATGATAGTATCTCCAGTTATATGTTAATTTATTGTGGAAAGACAATACCCCATAGGTATGTCTTTCACTTAGCTGCTTGTCTGTGAGATTATTTTGCACTGATCTGAGTAATGAATATGGGTAAGGAATCAGGGAACATGGCTGATAATTAAAAAATACACCAGATAAATTAAATTCAGTACATTCACATCCCAAGGTTGAAGATAAAATATAAGGAAACTACCTTTTAATACATTAAGAGCCTGATGTTCTGAATGTGAACGTACAGTAGACATGGAACAGATCTTCTATAATGGTGCAAAATTGATTTGTGTTTGCACTTCAGCAGACAGCATGTGCAAACCCATTTTTGTGCATGAGCCTTCATCAATATTCAGATCATGTTCAAATGACCAAAACACACAAATTTATGAGTGGAGGAATTACCGATTACAAAATGGAAACTCAGCTCAGTGCAGCAGTGGGTAGTACTGCTGCCTTGCAGCATGAAGGTTCTGGATTCGATTCCCAGCCTGAGGTCTTTCTAAATGGAGTTTGCATGTGTTCTCTGGGTACTCCGGCTTCCTCCCACAGTCCAAAAACATGACTGTTAGTTTAATTGGCTTCTCTAAATTCTCCTTAGCTGCGAGTGTGTGCATGAATGGTTGTTTGTCCTGTTTGTCTCTGTGTTGCCCTGCAATGGACTGGCGACCTGTCCAGGGTGTACTCTGCCTCTCGCCTGTAGGGAGCTGGAGGTAGGCACCAGCACCCCTCAGGACCCGGCATGGGATAAGCGTGATGGAAAATGAATGGACGGATGGAAACTCAACTAGCCAGGTTATCGTAGAGAATAACATCCTGACCAGATGACTGAAGCATAGTACATGGAATAGAGCTTTGGTTATGCACTGTTAAACTAACCCAGTGAACAGGTGAATACCTAAATACTCTGGACCAGAATCATTACCACTCGGTGAGACTGGGGTTAGGGTGGGACCCACCAATAGGTGGTTCTGGAACAAAACATATCACAAAGAATGTGCTACTTAATAGACACCAGAATGAAGAGGGGTGCTATGCTTAAGCCCATAGATTTTGAAGACCCTATACGAGTTGTGATTAAAAGTTCCCAGACTTCAGTTCACATGCCTCCATTGTCGTGATGTGTGCTAGACTTGTGTGTCTGTTCGCCTGGCAGAAGAATGCTATTTTACAAAATATTTTTAGCACTAAAGTATTAAAGAAACAGGATGTGAGTTTTGGGTGAAAAATATCTGTATAACAGCCTTTTCATTACCCCCTTTATGACTAAAACAGCGTCTGATGAGCAAGCTGACTCCACAGTGGTTCAGCACCAATGCAACCCCGTAGCTTATTTTCCTGAATTTACTTTGAGTCTGAAGTTCCCGCACTGTTCAACAGATGTGACTTTAGGCCCTTCACTGTTAAAAGGCTCCTACTTAACACATAATCTAAGGGTTCTATTCAAGATGGATATTCAGACTCAGTCGGCAACCAGCTCAAACAGGACACCAATGGTAATTCCATGTAAGTTGAAAAAAGTAAGAGAAACCTTGTTAAGTAATAGCGCAAGCTCCGAGAATGAGCAGAAGATTGCTGCAGCTCTGTTTTGGCAACAGGTGGCAGTATCATTAGGAAACTCTGTAATGCCTCTTTATTAGCCCACTTGAATCAATATAGTATGTACATGAACTAGCCCTAACCCAACCACTTAAAAAGGGATCGTAGTAAGGAAATAGACCCTCACGAAATCTATAAAAAAGTCTGCTCTAGGAAATCAAGAATTTTTTCAACTGTATGAGGGCCATAAAAATGAAATATCAAGACTGGTATAAAACCTATTCTCCATATCCAGGTCCTCTTGTACACCCAGATAAAACCCTGTGCAACTAAAGATTTGGCTGTTACCTTGTAAATAACCAAAATAAAGTGTTATTCAATCATAGTCGCTGGTCAGGAATGGATTAATCAAAGAAGTAAAAAATTGATCTATGGTAACTCTGGAGGAGCTGCAGGAAAGGCCATGTTAAAGTTTTAGAAAATAGCGATGCCACAGCCAAAAAGTGCTGCTGAAAGCCTTTTTGTATCTTTGTAAAGTTTGACAGAATAAAAGAAAGAATAGTAATTGTGGAAGGGAAAAGAATTGTATATAAATTTAGGAAACTGAATCTGAAAGAAGAATCTGTTTGTGGTTCTTAGGCCAGCTTAAAAACCAGGAAAGGGAGCAATCTAAAACAGAGGCTCTCAAAGTGGGGGTTGTGAGATACTAAGTTTGGCAGGGTGGGGCCACAAGAAAATTTTCAAAGACATTGTGATGGGATTCCTGAAATATATGGAGGGTCAAATTATAGCAATATAAAAATGAATGCAAATGTCCCATGAAAAAAAATAGATGTACCCTGAAATGTGAAGATGTGCATTTATTGCATATGAAGGCAAACACTAAAAGCAATAATAAACAAAATAATGCAAAATTCAAATGAGCACCGGTCCCATTGAACAATTGAAAAAAAAAATAAAACTATGAATTAAAGGTTCATAATCATAGTTATTTCAGATTGTTTTATTTATAAACCAGTAGCTCGTTCTGTTACCTTACAAAGTTTTTTTGAGAGACCATTATGCCCATTTGGATCAATATGCTAGTAAATAAAGCCCTTTTTTTTTACCTCCGCCAAGAAGGTTTTATTTTTATGAGAATTTCTGTCTGTCTGTCTGTCTGTCTGTCTGTCTGTCTGTCTGTCTGTCTGTCTGTCTATGTTAAAAAGTTATAGACTGATTTTAATGAAAGTTTTATTAGAGATGATCCTAATGCCAAGTACCAATCCATTAAACTTTGGTGATGTTTCAGATCATAATCTGGATACAGGATTTTTTTAAAGCATTCTCTGACGTAGTGAGATAGGGATATTTGGCCGAATAAGCAGTTCCTCACTTAACCAGAGGGTGGCAGCAGTGATAATTGACAGCCTCAGCATCAGACTCAAAATGTCTGGAGGTATTTTAATGAAGATGAAAACACAAGAAAAGGGAACATTGTTGGATTGATAGAAGGACCAAATGCAAACTTATGAACATCCAACCTATGAATATCCATCTTAACCCCCCCCCATGCACCTTTTTCTTCCTTTGGCACATTCTTCGTCTTTGACTATTTGAGCTGATGTAAGTAAATATCTGCACTGTGAGGTCAATAAAGTCAACCAATCAACCAATCAATCAAAAGATTTTATGGACTTTTTTTTTTTCAACCATAGTTACATTTCATGCCATTGAAAAATTCATTTGAATTTGGTAATCCTCCAGATCATTCGCGAGTGTTAGCTGTAGCTGTAACTCACAATTTGGGACAAAAATTGCTTCTTGTTGAAGGTCTGCGCGCCCAGAATGCTTTTTTAGTTTATATTTACAAAAACAATGGAGGTACGATACATGTGTGCGGGGGGAACAAGTAAGCAGCCTACTACAGCTGAGCTAGTTGTTTAGTAGTTACCATCTGGCCTTCTGTTAGTTCTCCGCTACTGGAAGCAGATTGTGACATGTCTGTTTATGTCTGCCCATCATGCCCTTTGCCTCAATTCTATATAAGCTCAAAAAGGACAATTGAAGCACTGTCAGGATTGACACTTGGTGTAAAAGGATAAATTGTTTTTTTTTTTTTTTTTTATATAGGAATATAATGAGACTATTCAGCGTTTTATGTCATATGCGAATGTCAATAGATTTATTTGAAAAACTAATGTAATTAGGTCAGTCAATAATTGTATGACAATAAGGTCACAGGATTTAAGAGAATGCTGGATTGGGGGGCTGTGTAAGTGGATCGGGGAAATGTGGAAATGTTCCTGGACCTTGAGGTCTTTATGGAGAGTTCGGATATAACCATTCAAAATGTGAAAAGAATGAATGCCTCTCAACTCAGGAGCCTTTTTGAACGTTTCAGTAAGTATTCACTAATTATGACAGGTAGAGAACTTGCATTATGTCCGCACATATGTCCTTTAACTACCTTAAAATGCATTTAGAAAATATAAAGGTGAACCTATAAAACTTAAGCTCTCCTCCAAACACTCTGTGAAGCTGTGTTCTTTCATTCATACCAGTTCTCTTATCCTATTGTCTTATCTTGCATACCAATTTCTATTCATCACATACTCTAAAGGTTGTAATAGCCTGACATAGTTATCTGAGGTGACGTGGAAACTCTTTCTTGTATGATAATGGATGTCTCCTCAGGTGAAGGATGAGTTATAAATGCGAGGTATGGATTCCTTACCTATATAAGACTTACCTATAATGCAGATGTAAAATGCTGCTATAATGTCCGCCTCTTTGGATAGCCTCGAAGCAAAAGGGTCACCACGCAGGAGATAATGGGGGACGTATGAGGGGTATGGCCATGTTGTGTTCTCCATCACTGCCATCAGTGGGGAATATCCTGTTAGGTGAAAGGAAGACGGTTGAAACAATGGGACAGCTTCCTCAAATTGAAAACAGCTCATAAAGATACAAGGCAGCAGGTAAGTGTTGCAGAAAAGCAAAACTTCCTTTTCTGGCAAACATAGATTGGGTCATGACTCTCTCTCTCTGTCTCTCTCTCAGAAAACATCCATCATACATGATTTAGAGCCGGCATAAAAAAACAAAAAAACAAACATATGTCAGGACAGTCAATATATAGCAAAACTGAAGAGGTTGACATTTTGCAGACCAACAGCAAATGGTGTATACGACCTTTGTAAGGAGTTCTACACTGACTGTAAGATGTCAAATGGAAGATATGATATATCACTGCAAGTAGGAGTTTTTGATTTTTTTTTTCTTTTATAGAAAATATAAATGTTGCATGCCATAGACACAAGAAAAAATACTATATTTTTTGTCTCTGAGATTAACAGGAACTGTATGTAATTTCATAATGCTGCATGTTTCAGCTCTATTAAGCTTGTTATTTGTTAGTTGTAATTTTTTTTTTACTTGGGCTGGATGAAGATAATCTTGAAAATGTTGAATCTCCAGGCAGTTAAACTCTTCATGCAGCCTTTCATCGCATAAAGGAGCTTGTTCTAACACTGCCTTCCTTACCAGAGACAAATGCACTGGATGCAGTGTATAAATCAGTGTAACTAAAGTTGGTTCTGCTGAAGAACAGAATCCATTAGAGTGCAATACTTCACTTAGCAGAGTTCAAGGCGGGTTAGATTGTTTAGCCTAGGGCAAAAGGTGAAGAGGCCTGTCATGTGGGGGGTGCAGAAATTACAGATGCCAAATGCTGGAAACTATGTGCACATATAAGTGCACACAGATATGCATACTATGTTATCCCACATCTTGTTGTGAGGATTTCTTCCCACACACTGGTCTCCCAGGCTGTTGCATAAGAATTGACCCATACACTCTGTCACCTTCTGGACTTGCCTTCCAATATGTCTTGGCTATTTGTCTCTCTTGGGTTGAACTCATGGGTTAAATGAGGTGACAAATGCTCCGAGTGTCCACATTACTGCTTTTATGATTAAACTTAAGGAGCTATCTCATCCCTGACAGTGTCTTAAATAATAAATTATTTAAAAATCAGTAGGCTGCATGTACTGAATACCAGATAGCTTCTGAAAAGGACCACTATTCACTATTAGTCACAAGCAAGTTTTTTTGTTAAAGAACAACAAAATAAATATGCAGAGCTGCAAAAATTCTGATAAATAAAATTATGTTCCACGTGGAAAGGAGCCAGCTGAGTTGGCTCGGGTATCTGTTCCGGATGCTTCCTGGTCGCTTCCCTTGGCAGGTGTTCCAGGCATGTCCTATTGGGAGGAAGGCCCAGGACACGCTGGAGGGACTATGTCTCTGAGCTGCCCTGGTGTCGCCTCAGGGTCCCCCCAGAGCGGCTGGAGGAAGTGTGTGTGGATCGGGAAATCTGGGAATCCCAGCCCCGGATAAACAGAACAAAATGCATAAATGAATGAAAATTATGTACCAAATATTTCACTGCAGTTAAAGACTAGTATTTCAAATGAAATTTATACCAGTTTCACACATATATAATATTTTTGTTGCCCTATTGTCAATGTAATGTAACTCCAGCTTACTCAGAATGGACAGGGAGAGTCTGTAGATATGAACTAATGTGAGGCCACCTGTCAATTAATCCTGGAGACTTTTCAGCGATTGACCAGCGTTCATGATTTGTACCATGCTGAAATGGCACTCCTCTACAGGAGTGCTTTTGTTTCTTAATCTATCTGACAGTTTTGAATGTTTTGCATTAGGATAGCATAGCAGACATGGCAATTTTGTCAAACCATACATTAAATTACAAGCTAAACGATGTCAGTGGGAAACATGGTTACCTCAAAGTATTTAGGGGCGAATTACGGTTGATTATATTCCCAATATGTACCAAGCCTTCGTGTAGCTGAACACTAAGATTAACACCAATGATCCCAACACTAGTGCAAATTCAGAATAGAAGTGCTTTAAAAGCAACAATGAGTCTTCAAATACAAGAGGGAAAAAAATCCTTCTTAATAATTGTGTTAAACTTTGTTTTAGGCAGTTGATTTGGGACCGATGTCCAGAGCCTTGTAGGTTGATCACAAAGATACTTTAAGCTCAGTAAGATCGTCAGAGTAGGAAGTTGCAAAGTGAACTTTACAAACAGCAATGCTTTAGAATACATTCTAAAGATGGACATGCCTACTGTGATCAGCTGACATTAATCAACTGAAGCAACCAGTTATTCATTTGTACAAAGGTGGCTATTATTACATTTTGTTTTTATCTTACTTACATTCTTCGCTTATGTTTAGTGGGAAATAAGAATGTGCTGCTAAGAAATTATGAAAAAATATTGTTACAATTAGCATCCAAGGCAATGGGAAACAAGTATTTATAGAGAGCCTGATTATTTTGGGATTAAAATCATGCTTTACGTTAAAACTTTTCCTGCACTCGTCAAAAATGTGCATGGAGCAGCTTGCATTTCCACGTAGATGTCATATCAATTCAGTAGTCTTGATGCAAGCTCTATAGTAGAACTATTTATGGACTTTGTTTACCGATAATAGTTCAGGAGGTGAACGGAGGAGCACAGCAGTAGATCCAATAAGAAACAGCAGCAGAGCTAGGAGATGCTATGGCAAGCTGGGTTTAGCTATAGAGGGAAACTGCAGAGGATTGAAGGAGCACAGCGAGAGATCGGATAGGTCTTCACTTCAGATAGCGCTGCTGATGGCGGGGGAAAGGCTGCTGGTGACCAGGGGGAGAATAGCATTACAAAGGAGAAGCCCACTAGGAAAATAAAGCAAGAAGAGGCTACAACTGGCTAAGGCTGTCCTCTAGATCAGGGGTGTTCAACGTTTTCCAGGCAAATGACCCCCAAATTGATAGCGAGATGGAGTGGGGACCCCCTAATTATACATATTGTATGAAATTGTGTTATATCAAACTGGTCCAATAGTCACTCTATTATAGATGGAATATTGTAATGAAAGTAATTTCTCCCTTGGATTATTAAAGTATTTCTGATTCTGATTCCTGGTTGATGGGACAGGTGTTGTGAATGAAACGGTGCCCAGCCTGAAAGAGCTCCAGTGTGTCGCTGAATGTGTGCATTGATGACTGATCTTCTGCCTCCATTTATCTGTGTTGAATTCATGTTAATGTGGATTTAAAGACATTTCAAGTAGTGAAAATAATTGCAGGGAGGAATAAAAAAAAAAAAAAAAAAGTCTTATCAAACCAAAACTTTTGCGACCCCCATGCAGTACCTCTGTGGACCCCCTAGGGGTCACAGACCCTCTGTTGAAGACCTCTGCACTAGAGGTTAACTGCTAGAGATGAAGGAGGACAACGAAGGTCAAACAGAGCTTTGTATATTTCAAATTGTATAGTGTACATTACATTTGTGTAATTTTTGGTTATTCTTTTCCTGAAGGCTGTTGTCCCAATTTGATCAGCATCGTTCATGTGTGTCTTCGTTGCTTAATGAAATGTAAAGATAAAGACAGTCTGGATTTATCAGTCCGGAGCTCCTTTTCTACTTTGGATAGTGCTCTATATTGACCCCATGAAAGGTGAATGAATAGTATTGAGAAAAATGAGCTACAATTTGAGGTGTTTTATGATTATTTAAAAGTAATTAATGCATGAGTTACTTTTAAATAAGTATGACCATTTTTTATGTAATCTTTTTGCTACTGTAAACACCAGAATTTCTCCATTGTGGAACAATAAATGGATTTTCTATTCTATTCTATGTTTACATGTTGGGACTGTGTGAAGACAATGAGGGATCAAATGTGTTCAAACAATTAGGTATAGACAAGTATAGAAATGTAGTCCTCTTCATCTGTCAGTGATTTGGTCTTGCCTATTTTATGAGGTGTACCTGCTGCCCTTTCATTCAAATATTTCCCCAAATTCCTTGGCCTCTGAGTTCATACCTTAATATTTGTCATTCATATGTAAAGGTTCTGCTTTCTTTGTCATAGTCAAGAAAACCAACTATTATATATTGTGTCATTAAATACTTTCTTCCTAACACAAGTATGGAAAAACTTTTCCTTTTGCTGGCTATGTAGGTGTGCAAATCTGTTGAGAAAATCGGAGGATGCATGTGGAATGAGCCTTTCCTTCCTGGTGAAAACACCGGGTTAGATAAGATCGTTTTCAAGATTTGCATCACTTGCTCCATTGGACCTCAACAGTGTAAGATAACTGTTGTTGTGGCTTGGGGTAAACAACATTTTTAGGTCTATTAAATTCAGAAGGAAAGAATATGAATAGTTTCTGGCTGACTCATGAATAAGAACCTATTACTGCAAACTTTCTGACTTTTTGAAAAGCTCTGTCTGAGTAGTGAACAACACCAATTGATTTTAAATGACATTATAAAAAAAACGACTCCTAGAAACTGTTTGAATACTTTACAGATGTGGATAATCCAACCAAAAGTTGCCTTTAAAACAGTATTATTTGTCAAAAAGACATAAAAAGACTTCCAAAATGGAGTGAATTATTCCATTATTGTTGAAAGGAGAGAGCATATTTTGTAAATGAATAAAAAGCACATATTGTAAAATCTAATTCAAAACTTAAACTTTGAAAAATGTTTTAATAGTAACTTCTCTGTTTTCTAAAATGTTACTTAATTTGTTTTCACATAAATTTTAATCATTTAAAAATATTTTCCAAATATCTTTTATGTCATGATCATGGCTCTGAGGGCAGGCCTAATTGCTCATTTCATTCACCTGCCTAGCTCTGGCAAGTTTTCAATTTCCACTCATCTAATCCATTTGCTCCTGCTTCTTTATATACGGCTCTGTCCCAGCCATCGGGGCCAGATTATTGATGCTGATGCTCTATGGTAGTTCATGTTCTTGTTCACCGGGGCCAGTGGAGAGAGGGTTTTTTTGTGATTCGTATTGTTTCTGA